ATACAGCTGACCACGACTTGCTCCACATAAAATTGTCACACTATGGTATAAGAGGGCACTCCCTCAACTACCTAAAGTCATACCTCAGCAACAGAAGCCAATATGTGTACACAAATGGGGCAAACTCTTCCTCACAGCCAATTACAGTTGGTGTCCCACAGGGAAGTGTCCTAGGACCTCTTCTCTTTCTCATATACATAAATGACCTACCAAATGCATCGCAACTACTCAAACCCACACTATTTGCAGATAACACTACATACGTCTACTCTCACCCGAGCCCAGTCACGCTAGCCAATATTGTAAATACCGAATTACAGAAAATATCAACCTGGATGAGGACCAACAAACTTACTCTAAACATTGACAAAACCTACTACATTCAGTTTGGTAACAGAGCTACAGATGTGTCTCTTAACAATGATAAATGGATCACCTATCACAAAACTCACATAGGGAAAATTCCTAGGAATCCACCATGATAATAGACTCAAATTTCAAACACATATACAACAAATTTCCAAAATAAAATTCCAAGACCGCAGACATACTATCGAAGATACGGTACTATGTTCCACAGTCAGTCCTCCTGGCCCTATATCACTCACTTATTTATCCCTATCTCACCTATGGAATTTGTGCATGGGGCTCAACAACAATAAACCATCTCAGACCTCTAATCACCCAACAAAAGGATGCAGTCAGAATAATAACAAATTCCCACTACAGGCAGCACACTCCACCAATATTCAAAACACTAAACCTACTCACAATACAAAACATCCACACTTATTATTGTACCTACTACATACATAGAACACTTAACTCTGATATAAACCCTCCCCTCAAACATCTCCTTACCAACCTCAACAGAACACATGACCATAACACAAGGCACAGATCACGAAATCTTATCACTCTTTGATGTTCCTCGTGTCCATCTCACGCTATTCAAAAACTCAATGAACATAAAAGGGCCTAAAATCTGGAATTCATTACCTGTGAATATAAAAGAAACACTGTTTATAAATTCAAGTCTCTTCTCAAAAATCTTATAGGACTCAGGAATCGCGAGAAGAACTAAAAGCCATAAATGAAATCGAAAGAAACCCAAAGTATTTCTTCTCCTATGCCAAATCAAAGTCGAGAACAACGTCCAGTATTGGGCCCCTACTTAAACAAGATGGGTCCTACACAGATGACAGCAAGGAAATGAGTGAGCTACTCAAGTCCTAATATGACTCAGTTTTTAGAAAGCCGCTAACCAGACTGAGAGTCGAAGATCAAAATGAATTTTTTATGAGAGAGCCACAAAATTTGGTTAACACAAGCCTATCCGATGTTATCCTGACGCCAAATGACTTCGAACAGGCGATAAATGACATGCCCATGCACTCTGCCCCAGGGCCAGACTCGCGGGGGCGTTGACCCCAGGAACTCTCTCCAGGTAAACTCCAGGTAAACAGAGAAGGTACCGTTGTACCAGCACAATAACGGACGATCATCACAGAGAACGTACCAGTGTACCAGTATAGTAATGGACCGTCATCACAGAGAACGTACCAGTGTACCAGCAAAGTAACGGACCATCATCATGGAGAATGTACCAGTGTACCAGCAGAGTAACGGACCATCATCACAGAGAACGTACCAGTGTACCACCAGAGTAACGGATCATCATCACAGAGAACATACCAGTGTACCAGCACAGTAACGGACCATCATCAGAGAGAACGTACCAGTGTACCAGCACAGTAACAGACCGTCATTACAGAGAATGTACCAGTGTACCAGCAGAATAACGGACCATCATCACAGAGAACTGTACCAGTGTACCAGTAGAGCAATGGACCATCATCACAGAGAACGTACTAGCGTACCAGCAGAGTAACGGACCGTCATCACAGAGAACGTACCACTGTACCAGCAGAGTAATGGACCGTCATCACAGAGAACGTACCAGAGTACCAGCAGAGTAACGGACCATCATCACAAAGAATGTACCAGTGTACCAGCACAGTAATGGACCATCGATGGAAATAAGCAAAGGACCCCAATGGAAATAAGTCACTCTGTCTGACTTTTTTGGGTTGTCCTAGGTTCTCAACACATATGCTGCTATGTATGATAATTCTATGTAACTGTACTTGTGTATACCTGAATAAACTTACTTACTTACTTACTATCACAGAGAACGTACCAGTGTACCAGCAGAGTAACGGACCGTCATCACAGAGAATGTACCAGTGCACCAGCAGAGTAACGGATCGTCATCACAGAGAACGTACCAGTGTACCAGCACAGTAACGGACCATCATCTCAGAGAATGCACCAGTGTACCAGCAGAGTAACAGACCATCATCAGAGAGAACGTACCAGTGTACCAGCACAGTAACGGACCATCATCACAGAGAACGTACCAGTGTACCAGCAGAGTAACGGACCGTCATCACAGAGAATGTACCAGTGTACCAGCAGATAACGGACTGTCATCACAGAGAACGTACTAGTGTACCAGCACAGTAATGGACCGTCATCACAGAGAATGTACCAGTGTACCAGCAGAGTAACGGACCATCTTCACAGAGACCGTACCAGTGTACAAGCAAAGTAACGGACCGTCATCACAGAGAATGTACCAGTGTACCAGCAGAGTAACGGACCATCATCACAGAGAACGTATCAGTGTACCAGCACAATAACGGACCATCATCACAGAGAACGTACCGTTGTACCAGCACAATAATGGAACGTCATCACAGAGAACGTACCAGTGTACCAGCACAATAACGGACCGTCATCACAGAGAACATACCGTTGTACCAGCACAATAACGGACCATCATCACAGAGAACGTACTGTTGTACCAGCACAATAACGGACCGTCATCACAGAGAACGTACCGTTGTACCAGCACAGTAACGGACCATCATCACAGAGAACGTACCAGTGTACCAGCACAATAACGGACCATCATCATAGAGAACGTACCAGTGTACCAGCACAATAACGGACCGTCATCACAGAGAACGTACCAGTGTACCAGCACAATAACAGACCATCATCACAGAGAACGTACCGTTGTACCAGCACAATAACGGACCATCATCACAGAGAACGTACCGTTGTACCAGCACAATAACGGACCATCATCACAGAGAACGTACCGTTGTACCAGCACAATAACGGACCATCATCACAGAGTACATACCAGTGTACCAGCACAATAACGGACCATCATCACAAAGAACGTACCATTGTACCAGCACAATAACGGACCGTCATCACAGAGAACGTACCAGTGTACCAGCACAATAACGGACCGTCATCACAGAGAACGTACCGTTGTACCAGCACAATAACGGACCATCATCACAGAGAACGTACCAGTGTACCAGCACAATAACGGACCGTCATCACAGAGAACGTACCATTGTACCAGCACAATAACGGACCATCATCACAGAGAACGTACCGTTGTACCAGCACAATAACGGACCATCATCACAGAGAACGTACCAGTGTACCAGCACAATAACGGACCATCATCACAGAGAACGTACCAATGTACCAGCACAATAACGGACGATCATCACAGAGAATGTACCAGTGTACCAGCACAATAACGGACCATCATCACAGAGAACGTACCAATGTACCAGCACAATAATGGACCATCATCACAGAGAATGTCCAATGTACCAGCACAATAATGGACCATCATCACAGAGAACGTACCAGTGTACCAGCACAATAACGGACCATCATCACAGATAACGTACCAGTGTACCAGCACAATAACGGACCGTCATCACAGAGAACGTACCAGTGTACCAGCAGAGTAAAGGACCGTCATCACAGAGAACGTACCAGTGTACCAGCACAATAACGGACCGTCATCACAGAGAACGTACCAGTGTACCAGCAGAGTAAAGGACCATCATCACAGAGAATGTACCAATGTACCAGCACAATAATGGACCGTCATCACAGAGAATGTACCGTTGTACCAGCACAATAACAGACCATCATCACAGAGAACGTACCGTTGTACCAGCACAATAACGGACCATCATCACAGAGAACATACCGTTGTACCAGCACAATAACGGACCATCATCACAGAGAACGTACCGTTGTACCAGCACAATAACGGACCGTCATCACAGAGAACGTACCGATGTACCAGCACAATAACAGACCATCATCAGAGAACGTACCGTTGTACCAGCACAATAACGGACCATCATCACAGAGAACGTACCAATGTACCAGCACAATAACGGACCATCATCACAGAGAACGTACCGATGTACCAGCACAATAACGGACCGTCATCACAGAGAACGTACCAATGTACCAGCACAATAACGGACCATCATCACAGAGAACGTACCAGTGTACCAGCACAATAACGGACCATCATCACAGAGAATGTACCGTTGTACCAGCACAATAACGGACCATCATCACAGAGAACGTACCGTTGTACCAGCACAATAACGGACCATCATCACAGAGAACGTACCGTTGTACCAGCACAATAACGGACCGTCATCACAGAGAACGTACCATTGTACCAGCACAATAACGGACCGTCATCACAGAGAATGTACCAGTGTACCAGGACAATAACGGACCATCATCACAGAGAATGTACCAGTGTACCAGGACAATAACGGACCGTCATCACAGAGAACGTACCGTTGTACCAGCACAATAACGGACCGTCATCACAGAGAATGTACCAGTGTACCAGGACAATAACGGACCATCATCACAGAGAATGTACCAGTGTACCAGGACAATAACGGACCGTCATCACAGAGAACGTACCGTTGTACCAGCACAATAACGGACCGTCATCACAGAGAACGTACCGTTGTACCAGCACAATAACGGACCGTCATCACAGAGAACGTACCGTTGTACCAGCACAATAACGGACCGTCATCACAGAGAACGTACCGTTTTTACCAGAAACAATAACGGACCGTCATCACAGAGAACGTACCGTTGTACCAGCACAATAACGGACCGTCATCACAGAGAACGTACCGTTGTACCGTTGTAATAAACGCCGCTACAACAACAACAACTCCACCGTTGATGACGCTGCTCACAAAAGGTCAGTCAAACTCCATCAATAACTCATCAGTTACACCTTCCCAGCTAACTGCTAACTAAGCTCATCCCTCAGCTAACAACTCAAGCTCACCCCAGAGCTCACAACCAGCTCAGGTACCTGTTAACGGCGCCGTTAACGGTGAAATAAGACCAGGGGGTGACCCATGCCGTAACTAACATATCTCTTAGCTGGGTTTATTACCTTTGTTAGTTAACTAAGTTTTATTATCTTGTTAGATGATCAAACTTAATCTACAACTTGAAGTTGTGTCTAACTTATCTAATTGTTGTAACTAACACTATCTTAGTTACGTTGTTATATTCTAGGTTATGTTAGTTGTTTATTAGTGGTTATATTAGTTATTTGTTAGTTATATTAGTGGTTATATTAGTTATATTATTTGTTAGTTATATTAGTGGTTATATTAGTTACATTATTTGTTAGTTATATTAGTTGTTATATTAGTTACATTATTTGTTAGTTAGTTGTTATATTAGTTACATTATTTGTTAGTTATATTAGTGGTTATATTAGTTATATTATTTGTTAGTTATATTAGTGGTTATATTAGTTATATTATTTGTTAGTTATATTAGTTGTTATATTAGTTACATTATTTGTTAGTTATATTAGTTGTTATATTAGTTATATTATTTGTTAGTTATATTAGTTGTTATATTAGTTACATTATTTGTTAGTTATATTAGTTGTTATATTAGTTACATTATTTGTTAGTTATATTAGTTGTTATATTAGTTACATTATTTTTTATTTATATTAGTTGTTATATTAGTTACATTATTTGTTAGTTATATTAGTTACATTATTTGTTAGTTATATTAGTTACATTATTTGTTAGTTATATTAGTTGTTATATTAGTTACATTATTTGTTAGTTATATTAGTTGTTATATTAGTTACATTATTTGTTAGTTATATTAGTTGTTATATTAGTTACATTATTTTTTATTTATATTAGTTGTTATATTAGTTACATTATTTGTTAGTTATATTAGTTACATTATTTGTTAGTTATATTAGTTGTTATATTAGTTACATTATTTGTTAGTTATATTAGTTGTTATATTAGTTACATTATTTTTTTATTTATATTAGTTGTTATATTAGTTACATTATTTGTTAGTTATATTAGTTACATTATTTGTTAGTTATATTAGTTGTTAAATTAGTTACATTATTAGATACATTATTTGTTAGTTATATATTAGTGGTTATATTAGTTGTTATATTATTTACATTATTTGTTAGTTATATTAGTTACATTATTTGTTAGTTATATGTTACATTATTTGTTAGTTATATTAGTTACATTATTTGTTAGTTATATTAGTTGATATATTAGTTACATTATTAGTTACATTATTTGTTAGTTATATTAGTAGTTATATTAGTTGTTATATTAGTGGTTATATTAGTTACATTATTTGTTAGTTATATTAGTTGTTATATTAGTTACATTATTTGTTAGTTATATTAGTTGTTATATTAGTTACATTATTAGTTACATTATTTGTTAGTTATATTAGTTGTTATATTAGTTGTTGGTTATATTAGTTATATTACTTTTTAGTTATATTAGTGGTTATACTAGTTACATTATTTCTTAGTTATATTACTTGTTATATTAGTTACATTATTTGTTAGTTATATTAGTTGTTATATTAGTGGTTATATTAGTTACATTGTTTGTTAGTTATATTAGTTGTTTTATTAGTTACATTATTTGTTAGTTATATTAGTTGTTATATTATTTGTTATATTAGTTATATTGGTTGTTATATTAGTTATATTTGTTGTTATATTAGTTATATTGTTATATTAGTTATATTGGTTGTTATATTAGTTATATTGGTTGTTATACTAGTTATATTGGTTGTTATATTAGTTATATTGGTTGTTATATTAGTTATATTGGTTATATTAGTTATATTATATTAATTATATTGTTATATTAGTTATATTGGTTGTTATATTAGTTATATTGGTTGTTATATTAGTTATATTGGTTGTTATGTTAGTTATATTGTTAGTTATATTGGTTGTTATATTAGTTATATTGGTTGTTATATTAGTTATATTGGTTGTTATATTAGTTATATTGGTTGTTATATTAGTTATATTGGTTGTTATATTAGTTATATTGGTTGTTATATTATAGTTATATAGGTTACATTAGAAAATGTAGAGAACCTTCACGGCACGCATAACGGAGATAAAACGCCTCAATTACTGGGAGCGCTTGAGGTTTCTAAACCTGTATTCCCTGGAACGCAGGCGGGAGAGATACATGATTATATACACCTGGAAAATCCTAGAGGGACTAGTACCGAACTTGCACACGAAAATCACTCACTACGAAAGCAAAAGACTTGGCAGACGATGCAACATCCCCCCAATGAAAAGCAGGGGTGTCACTAGCACGTTAAGAGACCATACAATAAGTGTCAGGGGCCCGAGACTGTTCAACTGCCTCCCAGCATACATAAGGGGGATTACCAACAGACCCCTGGCAGTCGTCTTCAAGCTGGCACTGGACAAGCACCTAAAGTCGGTACCTGACCAGCCGGGCTGTGGCTCGTACGTTGGTTTGCGTGCAGCCAGCAGTAACAGCCTGGTTGATCATGCCCTGATCCACCAGGAGGCCTGGTCACAGACCGGGCCGCAGGGGCGTTGACCCCCGGAACTCTCTCCAGGTAAACTCCAGGTATATTGGTTGTTATATTAGTTAGGTTAGTTGTTATATTAGGTTAGTTGTTATATTAGTTAGGTTAGTTGTTATATTAGTTAGGTTAGTTGTTATATTAGTTAGGTTAGTTGTTATATTAGTTAGGTTAGTTGTTATATTAGTTAGGTTAGTTGTTATATTAGTTAGGTTAGTTGTTATATTAGTTAGGTTAGTTGTTATATTGGTTGCAGTATGTTACAATATGTAACATCTATTAAATGAAGTTATCTCCATAGAATACTAGAAGTTATTGATCTCCCTCAGGTATCTAGCCTGTGTCAAGTATCTAGCATCTAGCCTGTGTCAAGTATCAAACATCTAGCCTGTGTCAAGTATCTAGCATCTAGCCTGTGACTAGTATCAAACATCTAGCCTGTGTCAAGTATCTAGCATCTAGCCTGTGACTAGTATCAAACATCTAGCCTGTGACTAGTATCAAACATCTAGCCAGTGACTAGTATCTAGCATCTAGCCTGTGACTAGTATCAAAAACCAGCCTGTGACTAGTACAAAAAACAGCCCGTGACTAGTATCACACTACCAGGACTAGTATCTAGCATCTACCTGTGACTAGTACAAACATCTACCTGTGTTATATCAGATCACCCGGACTTTAAACATCTAGCCTTGTTTAAAAAATTTCTTTCCCCTCTAGCCTTTTGTTTTAGATCTAGCCTTTTATCCCGCCCTTTTCAATATCTAGCCCCCCTACCCGTGTCTAGTATCAGACGCCTGTGCAGATCTAGCATCACCTTTGTGATCCAGTCTAGTTTTAAACTAGCCGGGCTAGATCACAACTACCTGTGCAAATATCTAGCATCTACCTGTTCAATTCTAGCATCTCCTGTTCTTAGTATCACATCTAGCCTGGGGTCAATATCTAGCTCTCCTGTGCGTATCACATCTACCTTTGTCAGTATTAGATCTAGCCTGTGTCAAAATATCTAGCCTAGCCTGTTGACGGGGGGGGTTTTTACATCACCCGTGCAAATACAAAAATCTAGCCCCGTTCTAAATATCAAACACTAGCCTTGCAAATACACATCTAGCCTTTCAAATATTAGCATCACCTGTCCAGTATCAAAAATCTAGCCTGTCTAGACTAGCACTGCCTGTGCTATATCAAAAACTAGCCTGTGTCAATATCTACTCTAGCCTGTTTAAACTAATATCAAACTACCTACCCTTTAAATATCAGCATCTAGCCTGTGTCAAGATCACATCTAGCCTGTGTCAGTATCTCATCTAGCCTTGTCAAAATATCACATAGCCTTTTTTTCCAAAGTTCATAAATCTGCCTGTGCAAAATATCACATAACCTGTGTCAATAAAACTAGCTCTAGCCTTGTGCAGTACAAAAAAACTAAGCCTGTGCTAGTATCTAGCATCTAGCCTGTGAAAAAACCTTTTTGGGTTTAAAAACATCTAGCCTGTGCAATATCTACATTAGCCTTGAAGTATCTAGACTAGCCCGTGTCTTTTTTTACCCTAGCATCTAGCCTGTGTCCCCAAATTTCTGCATCTAGCCTGTCAGTATCAACACTAGCCCGTGCAAATCTACACTTTAACCTGTGCTAACCAAAAACTAGCCTGTGCAAGTACTGCATCTAGCCTGTGACTAGTAATTCCCAAAAAATCTTAACTCCCGTGACTAGTACTAGCATCTAGCCTGTTCATTTTCAAAAAAACTAGCCTGTGCAATCTGCATCTAGCCTGTTTTTTCAAGTATCTAGCACTAGCCCGTGCAAATATCAATCTACCGGGCGTTTGGTTTTCCCTTTCCCCTTTTCTAGCACTACTTGACATAATAAATCTAGCCGTGATTTCAAAAAAAACTGCCCTTACTATATCAATCTGCCTGTGACTAGTATCAAAAAACTACCTGGACTAGTATTACAAATCAGCCTGTGCAATCTACATCTAGCCTGTGCAGTACTGCATCTAGCCTGTGCATATCAAAAAACAGCCTGGGCCAGTAAATCTGCCTTAAAATGTATCAAAAACTAGCCGGCAATATTACATCTACCTGGCAAAATCAGCATCTACCTGTGACTATAAAAACATCAGCCCGAAATAGTACAAACATCCCTGTACAATATCTAGCACTAGCCTGTGACTAGGGATCAAAAAACAGCCCGTGCAGTAAAACAAAATCTAGCCTGGGCCAGTATCACATCACCTGGCAAATATCTACATCTACCTTACTAGTTTCTAGATCAGCCTTTCAGTACTAGCACTACCTTGTATATCCAAA